CGGGAAAACGAGTCGTTTTCTGAGGAGAAAAAGGATAAAACGGCCGTTTTTCTGTTTTTTCCATGTTGAATTATACCGTTTAATCAAACTGATTATCAGTTTGATTAAACCCACTTCATCTCGCTCTTTCTCTGATATCTGGTCACACAATCGGTTCAAGACACCCCTAAGTCTTAAACTTCCCTCACATGCTCATTGTGTATTTATAATGCTTATGTTTATGTTCTTAATCTGTTCACAGAAACAGAGCATTGAGGTGAGAAGAGAAGCCATTATCTCCAGCCTTATACTGTACCATGGGAAGAAGGAATATGACTTTTTTAGGACTGCTTGGTAGGTCATGTTTTCAAACATTTAAAAATAATCTTGAACAAGGGGTTCATTTAAAGTGACATAGTGTTTGAAAGTGATTCATAAATGGGTAATTATCGCAGCATGTTACCATTGTGAAATTTCTTTCAGACACTCCGGCTAGGTTTAGGTTTCCTGCTTTATTTTATATAGTTTTTAATATTTCAAATTCAAATATTGTATAGAAAGAAAGAAATGTGTTAGACCACTGTCTCACATCAGATGGGATACCCTCACAGCACAGGGGAAGAAGCTGTTTCTGAGTTTATTAGTTTTTGATTTGATGTTTCTGAAGCGTTAATCTGTAACAATATCTAGCATAAGTCATTTTGCCTTATGTAACTGTGGTGTAAATAATTGTATGGTGAACTTATTGGTTTGCTACAAGAGTGATTGACTTGTAATGTTTGTATGTTACAGTTTACGACGGCTAAAGCGATGGCAGTGGTCAGAGGCCACTCTTCAATAAACAACTGAAAAGAGAAAGAAGTTTGGTTATTGGAGCGTCGTTGTCTGGCTGTCTAGCCGGCTGAAAAGTTGGGAAAACTCAGGGCGAGGACAGCACAGTGATGTCAGTAACTCTGTTTTCAAAATCTGACAGCTATGAGATTGTCCCAGGATGCAAGAGTACAGCGAAAGCTTGTCCACTGCTTATGGGACTGATTTATGCCCTGAACTGTGCATACCCTCCTATTTTGTGCTACACTTTTAAAGTCCTCTAAGAACTCTTGCTGGAGATGGATCAATTTAAACTCTACACAAAAGAAAACACCCTGAAGTGAAAGTTACTGTCATGATTCTGTCTTCCTAGAGGAGGAAAATATTTCTGTAATGAATGTTTTAACTCTGACAGTGTTGTAAACTTTTCACTACATATTTAAAAAACACTGTTCCAGTTTGAATGTAAAATTTATCACTGCCCCATAAAGAAATTTAGAAATTAAATTCACACTACTAGTGGAGTTACTTATTTGTGAAGCCGTTTCTTTAATGCATAGAGTATTGCTTCATTTTATTTGTAAACGTTTATCCAGAGACAACTGGCATCAAATATATTGTTTTAGTGCGTAGTTTAACATAATGCAAAAAGTAAAAAATGTTTACTTTAATTTCATGTCATAATTACATGAATTGCCTTTAAACCTTAATGGCACATTACTTAATTATGTAAAAAACTGGAAATATGTTATGTTCTATTGTAAACTTTAAGCTATTGCCTTATGTAACTAGTTTTTACATTTCATTCCACTTTAATAAAACTTTGTCTTAAATAATGCTGTGAAGTTATTGAAATGTCAGCCTATGGTTCAGCTTGAATAAGTTTGAGATATTTAAAAAACATTTTTGCCTTTCTAAATAACTTTAACCTGGGCATTTTTTTACCTGTATGGGAGGTCTTTGAACTCCAGAAAGAATATGACTTAATCTGCAACTGTCAGGAGAGAGAACTATACTGTCATTTAGTAAAATAATAAATTTTGTTTTGCCATCAAATTTGGTAATTGTTAGTGAACCATCTCAACGACTGTTTGATCATGAGCTATTCTAATGTTACAACACACTGGTGGTGAACACTTAATTGTCTCTTCAGTGGTGTAGAGAGGGTGTGAATAGTTCTTCACTTACAGCAGCTTGTGCAACATCCTATCTAGACTCGGCTCTAACATCCAGAGCTATTCACAGCACAGAGCCAGTTTCTTCAAGTCTATTATTATTTATGTTTTTGGAGGCTTGTTGTTTTGGTCTTGTTTTGCCTTGTTGTACAACTTGAGACAGCTTTGCAGTGTTAAAGGTAGTTGTTTGTCACCAGGTTCTGTTCTTATTTTACCTTTATGTCTAGCCTCTTCAAGACCATGCTAAATTTCAAATATGTGGCAACACAATTTTAATTTAAAATATGACATTCTACAGCTTGAGTATTTGTTGTGCACAGGAATGTAATTACTGTGCACAACTAGTGTGCACAAGAAAGTATATTTTTTTGCTCTCCAATGTTCTTTTAGGGGCTCAAAATCGCATTGTAATTTTTTAAAATAAAAATGAGGAAAGAAAAGCAGTGGCCTTGTTATAACACACCAAACCTCCTTGAGTTGTATATATACAGTATATATATATATATATATATATATATATATATATATATATATATATATATATATATATATATATATATATATATATATATATATATATATATATATATGTAATCAGTACAGACCACAAGTTTGAACACAACTGCTCATTTAAAGAGTTTTCTTTATTTTCATGATTATGAGGATTGTAGATTCACACTGGAGGCATCACAACTATGAATTAACACATTTGGAATTATATACTTAAGAATAAAGAAAAAACATCTGCATATATGTGTTATACTCTAGGTTCTTCAAAGTAGCCACATTTTGCTCTGATTACTGCTTTGAACACACTCTGCATTCTCTTGATGAGCTTCAAGATGTAGTCACCTGAAATGGTTTTCATTTCACAGGTGTCCACTGTCAGGTTTAATAAGTGGATTTCTTGCCTTATAAATGGGTTGGGACCCTCAGTTGTGTTGTGCAGAAGTCATGTGGATACACAGCTGATAGTTCTACTGAATAGACTGTTAGCTGCTTTTTTATTGCCATAATACAAATTCTAAGTAAAGAAAAATTCATTACTTTAAGAAATTAATCATTACTTTAAGAAATTAAGGCCAGTCAGTCTGAAAAATTGGGAAAACTTTGAAAGTGTCCACAAGTACAGTGGCAAAAACCATGAAGCACTACAAAGAAACTGGCTGACATGAGGACCGCCCCAGGAAAGGAAGACCTAGAGTCACCTCTGCTGCGGAGGATAAGTTCATCAGAGTCACCAGCTTCAGAAATCACAGGTTAACAGCAGCTCAGATTAGAGAGCAGGTCAACGCCACACAGAGTTCTAGCAGCACACACATCTCTAGAATAACTGTTAAGAGGAGACTGTGTGAATCAGGCCTTCATGGTAAAATAGCTGCTAGGAAACCACTGCTAAGGACAGCCAACAAGCAGAAGAGACTTGATTAGGCTAAAGAACACATTGAATGGACATTAAACCAGAGGAAATCTGTGCTTTGGTCCGATGAGTCCAAATTTGAAATCTTTGGTTCCAACCATCGTGTCTTTTTATGACGGAGAAAAGGTGAACGGATGGAATCTACATGCCTGGTTCCCACCGTGAAGCAAGGAGGAGGAGGTGTGGGGGTGCTTTGCTGAGTTAGGGGATTTATTCAAACTTAAAGGCATACTGAACCAGCATGGCTACCACAGCATCTTGCAGCTACATGCTATTCAATCCGATTTGGTTTAGTTGGACCATCATTTATTTTTCAACAGGACAATGACCCCAAACACACCTCCAGGCTGTGTAAGGGCTATTTGACCAAGAAGGAGAGTGATAGGGGGCTGCACCAGATGATCTGGCCTCCACAATCACCGGAACTGAACCCAATCAGGATGGTTTGGGGTGAGCTGGACCGCAGAGTGAAAGCAAAAGGGCAAACTAGTACATCTTGAAGCTCATCAAGAGAATGCAGAGTGTGTGCAAAGCAGTAATCAGAGCAAAAGGTGGCTACTTTGAAGAACCTAGAATATAAGATATATTTGCAGTTTCACACTTTTTTAAAAATTATATAATTCCACATGTGTTAAAGCACAGTGGATTCAACATTATATATATATATATATATATATATATATATATATATATATATATATATATATATATATATATATATATATATATATATATATATATATATATATATATATATATATATATATATATATATATTTATAGAGAGAGAGATCTTTAATTTTTTCTACCTCACTCCTGTTTGTATTGGCTGTTTTCCCAGATATATCTAAAAAAAAATTCCAGATTTTTTACCGCCACAAAAATGAAGTTACTCACACAGCACTCCGTTTCATAAATGTTCCATTTATTGACTATGAGGAGGTAAAATACGCTTGACATTGCGATTAATTGTCCCATAGATGCACAGCGACATCTGCTGGTCATTTAAAATACCTGTCGTGAGTGTCAAATTTACCATGTCTGTTCTGTCGCAGTTAAATCTCTCTGATGACTTTATTCCGAGTAAACCCTGTAGCTATAAAAAATATAAATATATATTACATCTAAATATATGTATATATTTATATATGTATAAGACCTGCTTTAATTTCGAACACAAGCAAAAGCTACGATGAGGACAGGAAATACAACGAAAGTTTCTCCATGCCATGCCTTTATTTTGAAGGGCACTGGACCGGCGGGCTTGAAAGCCACGCCCACTTCTAAAACCGAAAATTGACTGGTTTTTCCGTTTAGGGGGCGAAAACAAAAAAACAAAAATCAAGCCGTTTATTGGATTTTGGTTTTATGTGCAGAAACCACAAAACGGGAAAACGAATCGTTTTCTGAGGAGAAAAAGGAGAAAACGGGCGTTTTTCTGTTTTTTCCATGTTGAATTATACCGTTTAATCAAACTGATAAAAAGTACCTTCGTCATAAATCTCTATATTTTTTTATCTGTATATTTTTTGAGCACTACCTGTTTATTCCTCAACCGGCTTTTAATTTGAAATCCCACATCAACCGGAAGGAATCGCGCTCAGCGCATGCGCTCTACACACACGTTGTTTTGTAGTGGGGCATGTTTAGCTAAACAGAAGAGACTAGCGGTTCATGCCCTCTATTCTATTAGTGGTTTTGGTTCAATTTTTATTCTTTTTTATAATTGATGTATGCGTCACTTTAGGATTTAAGGGATTGTCACTAACAATTGGCGTCTCCGTTGTTAGTGAGGAAACTTAGATAAAAAGCTAGCCTAGTAGCTCATCCCTGTTGCTGGGAGCAGGGCAGCATGGTCGCTGTGTTGGAGCTCATTGCTGGCAGCTATGAGCAAATCACATTCGGATATCGTGTAAACACGGAAGATAACGTAAGTGGACTTATTATTTTTATTTTAGGAGGGGGTGGGATGTCATTGTGAAATAAGTGGCACTGCTACTTCGAGATTATATTTTGTGATCTTTGAAATTGAACATTTGGTTTTTGTTAAATTTCTCCCTATACCTACATTTTCTAATTTGGGAATAACTGACAGTAAACCTTTATCAAACCAAGTTTGAAGGAATCAAATTGAGGCTTTTGAAGGTAAGAAGGCTGCACCAACTGTTAAGCATGGTAGCAGAAGTATCATGCCGTGGGATTGATTTCCTGCTGGTCTTACTAGTGAACTGTGCAAAGTGCATTATTGCTAAATAGATATTAAAAGATGATTGCAAATAATACTGAATGTTAATATGAATAAACAGTTTTTTAGAACTTACAACATATTTGCTTTTCTTTTTTTTTTTTTTTTACAGGAATGGACTGCCAAAGCTGATTTTACACACCACGCTCACACGGCTTCAATATCAGCTGTAGCAGCCAGCGAAAGGTTTGTGGTCACAGGGAGCAAAGATGAAACAATCCAGTTGTACGATATGAAAAAGAAAACAGAGCATGGAGCCTTGCTACATCATGAAGGTACGAAAGGTTCAAAAATTAAAAGAAAGTTTTTTGTTTTGGTAAGAAAACTTTAGGGCAACTTTTATTTTAGTAACTGCTTTGCTCCACAGGTTCCATCACTTGCCTCGAGTTCTATGGTTCGTCTCACTTGCTGAGTGGAGGAGAAGATGGGCTGCTGTGTGTGTGGAGCACAAAGAAGTGGGAGTGTATGAAAACGATCAGAGCTCATAAGTGAGTACCAAGTTCCCCAGAGTTTGGCATCAGTTGTTCCTCATGATTCATTGTTCTTTGGCTTTCCTCAGAGGTCACGTCACTTCACTCTCTGTACATCCGTCGGGGAAGCTAGCGCTGTCAGTTGGGACAGACAAGACCCTGAGGTAATACTCACAGCTCATCAGAAGCATACTTTCAGGGTTCCCACATTGGAAATTTGGTTTTAGGAAGCTCTTGCTCTGAATATTTGAGTATCCTTATGAAAGGAAATGTTTTCCAGACCCCTTTCTCTGTCCGAATTTCTTAAAGTTGAATCCATTTGCTCATCATATTTATCCATACAGTCCGTTTTATTTCTATTCAATATTTATCAATTATGATATATTCAGGTCTTTGTTTAAGAAAGGACTACTGCTGTTTAAAGAAAACTTCACTCCGTTTAATTTTAAAGGACCTGGAATCTCATCAATGGAAGATCGGCTTTTATCAAAAACATCAAACAGAGTAAGTTTGCCGTCAACCTGGATGGGAAATAGAAGCTTTTAGTTTCTGTTAGAAAATAGCTATAATCATCGTGTTTTTTTTGTGGTTTTTTTTGTACCTTTTATCAGATGCACAAATAGTCAGATGGTCTCCAGACGGTGACAGATACGTGGTTGTGGTGAACGACAAAATTGATATCTACAAGCTTGAGACGGCGTCTGTAACAGGAACGGTCACAAACCCGAAGAGAATCTCATCTGTGAAGTTCTTAAATGTAAGTTCCTAGAACAACACTCGGTGTCATGAATGTTAACAGAGCGGCATCCATATCAAGGATGCGCCGATATGAAATAGGCCTGGGCAAAAAATCGATTCACTGAATTAATTCAGATTTTTTTTTTTCGGGCAGTTAAAAAAAAGGAAAAAAATGATATATTTTTTTGTATAATGCCACAATTTTGGCTCCCTGGAGCTTCCCTAGATGCGTGATGCTACTTTCAGACCGCAAGCAGCACAGGCAGCAGAAGCTGCTAGTTTACATGCAAAGTCAATGGTTGACGATCTTGACGCAGCAAAAGGTCCCACAGCCCGTTTTGAGAAGCAGGAGCATTGTGTCGGGAGCTTCTGAGGACCTTACGCATGTGATGCGGTTCAGAAGCAGCATCTGCTGGAGTTGGAAAAATTAAACTTTTGTTGCACGACGCGCCACATCAACCAATGAGAGAAGCTGATCTGGGAGCTGGCAGGGAGACAGACACATCACTGCTGATGCAAATCGCTGTGATCACTCCTCTGAAACAGTTCTTTAACGCCTAAATGAATTAAAAATGTCGAAATCTGTCGGTAAAATATGTTCGGATTTATTATTGTGGTACCTCCAGTTTGGATTACAGATGTGAAAAACGCCCTCCAGCCGCTGTGAACACTAACAGAAAACCGCAAAGAGGTGACCGGGCCAGAGGCTGCTGTTGAACGGGGTTCCTAGTGACAGAGCTCCTCCGGTGTACGGAGGTCTGAGCGGCTCTGACAGGGAAATAATATTTGAAGGCAGGATTGTAATCTTGATGAACTGACTACACAGATGAAGTTTTTTTAGGTGGACTTTCGTATTAAAACTACTTTTTACCCACTGACCACAGCAAATATAGCTGCCATTGTTACAGGTAAAGAAATAATAGTTTAGCTCCGTCCAACGCTCATCAGACCCACTTTTGGACCGCGCAGCTCAACCATCAAAGATGCATCAGCTGTGAGTCAGAACTAAACTTGTGCAAGCATCAAAAATTAAGCAGCATAGGTGCAGATCAGCAAGCAAAATCATGGCTACCGGTGAGAGTAGGAAGTTAGTCTTGATAAAAGGAATAAAATCGGGATCCGGAAAAAAAATCGTAATTCGAATAAATAAAAAAAATATGTGATTACATTTTTTTGGCCATATTGCCCAGCTCCAATATTAACATTTGGGTAAATTTTATTATTGCTGTCAGTACAGACAACCAGTATTTACCAATATGACTTGCATTTTCCTACTATTTCAGGACACTGAAAAAAAAGTCACTGCTGACATTGTTTATGTCCAAACACCAATGTTTGGACATTGAAATTGTGAAGCACACAGGACAATAATATAGAATTGAACATTGATTGCTGATTTCAGCACAGTTTTACTTATGGGATAGATATATTATTTTGAAAATATGACTTACACTGGCCAATAATGAGGATAAATATCACACATCCTTCGATTGGAAAAAAGTTGTTTTTGTGTTTTTCCAGGTTTTATTGTCTGTCACAATTACAGAGCAACGAAATGAACCCTCTGCATTTAACCCATCTCCTTTGGGAGCAGTGGGCTGCCATTGTGCGGCGACAGGGGAGCAGTGTGGGGTTAGAGGTCTTTGCTCAGAGACCCAGAGTGGCAGTCTGTGGGAGTGGGGCTCCTCCAGTTTCCATGCTCTATGCCCTAACCACAAGGCTGCCGCTTCCCTTGAAAACTGTATGTGTTTGTTTTTTTGTTTTTTTTATTTATTCGTTTTTTCTATTTTTAATTTTTTTGAGGCTGACTAACAGGGTACTGGGCTATGAAGAATAAAAAGATTAAAAACTTTTGAATCTTAGAAAAAAATTTGTCTCCTTTCCTGGCCTGAAAAGGGGTTGTTTCCCGTTTCATACAGTATGGTATCAGTAAGGAGAGTAAAATGGATTAATGAAGCACTCTATTTGAACATGGGGTTCTGAGCCTTTTTTGTCTTTCAGAACTCGGTCCTGGCTGTTGCAGGAGATGATGAAACCGTGAGGATCTGTGATGTGCTGAAAGCTAAATGGGTTTGTGAGTTCAAGGCTCATGAAACAAGGTAAGATTTAGGATTGTCTTTGGCCTTATACAATATAACCCATCTCTGTATGAATAATGCATTTAATATTTTATACATTATATTTAATATGATAAGTGCTTGACAGCGGTAGCCTAATGAGAAATAAGGGTAAAATATATATCATTTATTTATATCCCTGGAATATTTAGATAGGCATCTCTCGGAGGATAATAAAACAATGTTACATTAAAAATATTATTAAAACCTGGCATATTACAAAAAAAAAATCCATCTATTATCAATGAAAAAATTATTTCTGCAATCAAAACCTTATTATGATTGCTTACCAGTTCTTCCATGTTTCCACTGGTATTCGACACATTTATTTTTAATGAGGAGCTCCAAGAGTTTGAGGTTTTGATGGCCTCCTAACCGTCACCCTCGTCTTTTGCTTCCTACACTGGTTTCCTCTCAGATCCAAGTTAGGACTCTATCCGGGCCAGTCCAAATTATTTAGTTTTCTATCAATAGAATCCTCCTGCTAAAGTTAAAAGAAAACTCCAGAACCAAATTGGCCAGGGGTATGAATGATTCTTTGCTTGACTGTTATTGTTTCATGTCTGTGGTTTCAGGGTAAAGGCTGTTGATAGTTTGATGGTGGATGATTACTGCGTGCTGTTAACGGCCTCAAATGATGGTTACATCAAAATGTGGAAAATCCACCTCAATGAGGTTTGTCTTCGTTCTTTTGTCACCATGAATCAGAATATATGATTAGCAATACACTGAAATTTTGAGTGCTACCTAATATAGGGCTGGGCGATATAGAAAAAAAGCTTATCGATAAAAAAAAAAAATGCATATTGATCGATATCGATAATTATTGAAAAGATTTGAAACCATATTTTATGTGCAGCTCTGCCTGGACTTTTTATAATATTGCTAAATGATTTAATTTTAATAAAAAACACAAACACAGACTTCGAATTAAATCTTTATTTAACCAACTTTTTTAACCATAACAGAATTGTTTTAAAGAAAAATAACTTAAGAGACCTGAGTTATGTTATTAAATACTGACAAAGAATAAACTAAAGTGACCACAAAAGTGACCAAAATAAATATAACAAATAAATAAATGCCCCACCGCCGCCGCCGCCCCCGTTTCCTGCTTTAACCTGAGTTATTAATTTGAAGTTTCTGGCCCCTCAGCATTTTTATCTCAATTGTTAGAACTACGTGGGAAACTGCCCAGAACTGAAAATATATATATATTTTCCCGAAATTCCCGAAGATTCCTCTGAGGAGAACCGCGCCGGGGATTACACAGCTCATACTCCTGCGGGTGTGAGCGGCTGAGATGATAAAAAAAAAAAAAAAAAAGTTGGTTGTGTTATCAGACTTGGTTTTCACTGGTTCCCTACACATTTTCCAGATGACTGTGGTTTGTTTTTGGTCCGACTTGCCATGACCGAAATACTGCCAGACTGCCGAACTACAGAAACCCTTCTTTGGAATAATTTCCTCCGCCTCTCCTTGCTGCACGGCTTCATGTGCTCTGTGTTGTGGTTTGAGAGGGCGGCGCTTTGTGACGGCGTGCCTGGGTCCGCAATTGTGATTGGTTGGGAGGAAGTAGTGACTAGCATAAACCTACATGCTAGGCTACAATGAGAAGGAAGGAAAACTGCGTTTCTTTTTTATCGAACTTTTATCGACCCTCTTTTTTTCTATTGCGCCACACGTCTATCGATCGATATATATCGTTATTGAATTATCGCCCAGCCCTAACCTAATAGTAGAATGTGTAAAAAATTAAATAAGCCATCTTCTAACTCTTTTATTTTAGTACATTGATTGAATTGACAGAGAATTTCTTTTTTTTATTCTTTAGAAGGAAAAACAGAAAAACGTGCAGAAATTAACACTTTCTTACATCAAGAAAAGGGCTACGGAAATTAGCTTCTTAGCTAAAATGTTCCATATGTACAGCAAGAAGAGACAATAAGATATATTTAAAACAAAATCTGTAAAGCTATGCTAACTGCAAGGATATGCGGAAGATGTGTGGTGCTGTGGGCCTGTTTCACCATAACCTGTTTAAAATACCAGAAGGCCATAGACATCTCAGACCTAAATCTTGTGGTGGGATGAGTGTTTGAATCTTTAAGTCTTATCGGTAATAGTGGGATTAACAATGCATTAAAGTGTTGATTACGTGATCTTGTAATTTTTTATGTTATTTTTTAATATGGAGGCATCACACCTTCCAGATCAAAACCATCCATAGCTAACCTCTAGCCTACAGAGTCAGACTCTAAGCCAGAGGGAGACGGTGTATGACAACAGCATACCTGGTGGAAAACACACAACCGGGAAACATGGCTGCGCCTTTGGTACTGATAGTATAACCAGGTATTAGTGTATAAATAGAATTCGGTATATAATTTATTTCTTTAAATGAGCGCGAGTTTCAAATGCATCTTATATTATTTTCTATATTGCTAAAGGAATAGCTAGCAACTCTATACTCCCATCGTTGCCAGGGTTGTTGGATCTGCCTATTTCCATCCCAAAAACAATGGGAAACCCCACCCCCTCTATAAATTACACAGCATACATTCCTCTGAAGCTTCTGTTAAAACCATGGATCTATAAAACGCCTAATACAAAACGCAGATTTATGTTATTACCACAAAATTGGTAGTGATCATAGTAATCTAAGCTTCACATTAGCCTCCAGTTCTTTCTGTATATTTTTTGTATTTTTTGCTCAGATGTGTAGCTTGAAGTGAGGCGCTTGGAGCGACATCACATGGCTCTTAAAGGAATAGTACACCCAAAACATGATTAGCCTTCATTTTCTACTCACCCCCATGCTGAACAACACTCTGGAGTACTTTTTTGATATCTCAAATGCATCTGGAGATCTGGGAGGCTTCTTGCTGTCTGCTGACATTCAAATAATGGAGGTCTATGGTGACCGAGACAGAAAGGTCCATAAAAGTCCACAAAAAACGTGTCAATATTCCTCCATACTGCTCGTCCAATGTATTCCAAGTGTCCTGAGTGGGTAGCATCCAGAATTTACTCGAAACGAAGTCATTTAGAATGTTTTTAGAGCATAAACAGTAGTGTATAGGATTTCCTGAAAGCGCGCACACGCGCGCTCACGACGCTACGGAAGCCGGCAGACCAAACCAGCGCATTCAGCTCGGCAAAGAACTCATGCTCTTCCTCAACACTGAAGTCCTCAGACATTTTTCTTTCGTTGTTTCTTTCTTTGCACAGGTAAACAGCACATTTCTTCTTCTACGCTTGCATTATTGGAAGAGCAGACGCTGAATGCGCACTTTCATCTGGTTTGGTCTGCCGGCTTCCGTAGCGTCGTGAGCGCGCGTGTGCGCGCTTTCAGGAAATCCTATACACTACTGTTTATGCTCTAAAAACATTCTAAATGACTTCGTTTCGAGGAAATTCTGGATGCTACCCACTCAGGACACTTGGAATACATTGGACGAGCAGTATGGAGGAATATTGACACGTTTTTTTGTGGACTTTTATGGACCTTTCTGTCTCGGTCACCATAGACCTCCATTATTTGAATGTCAGCAGACAGCAAGAAGCCTCCCAGATCTCCAGATGCATTTGAGATATCAAAAAAGTACTCCAGAGTTTTGTTCAGCATGGGGGTGAGTAGAAAATGAAGGCTAATCATGTTTTGGGTGTACTATTCCTTTAAGGACAATCCGTCCGTGTCTGACTCGTAGACCAGCTAATTTTCTCTCTCTCCCTCAGGGGGCGTCATAGGTATGGTGGTTTGCTGCTCCTCACTTTAGTATTTTTCCGAACATTCAAGAAAGTATTTCAATTAGGGAACAAAATTAAAAAACACGTCCTTCTCAAAAGGCTCCAAGGACAGAAGACACGCCATGTAGTGCTTCAACTTCTCCTGATCTTATCAGACCTGCTTCACCCACTTTAAAGAAGCTCATGAAACTTAAATAAACAGACGCCATCTTTATGTGGATTGAAGCAAAAAGCTGCAACCCAAGGCAAAGGCATAGCTGGATCTTAAGCCATGAAAACTTTAGCTGCTCTCCTTAAAAAAAAAACCCTGTTCCAGTTCTCAGTTGTTTTACTTTGAACCTTTCTCCCATTTTCTCCCTCATTAACTGAGCGGTGCTAGAGTCCTCTGAATGGCAGAGGTCTTTTTGATTCAAAACTATTTTATGTAGGTACCATCGGAATTATTACATTGATCATTAGTATTAAGGTTTTGGTCAACAAAAAAAATACAAGAAAATGACAATACCATGTCATCAACACTTTAAAGAAAGGATTGCTAATTAAAGAAATATTTTATAAGATACTGATTGTATATTTCTGCTGCTAATCAGGAACTGGAACCCCCTATCCTACTTGGGGAAATCAACACAACAGCTAGACTGACGTGCCTGGCTGTGTGGAGACCTTCGTCAGCGCAGCAGATATCCGAAGGTCCATCTGAGACAGCGACATCTGAAGGTGGAGTGCTGAAAACATTGGCTTTCATCTTACTCTGCAAACTTGTTTTAGGATCTTTAAGACTTAGCTGTTACATGCAACTGTAATTTTAAAAATAAATTAAAAGAACTATTAACATTTTGGCATGGCTTAAAGTAACAGAGCAGTCACTTCAACCTTAATTTGGTACTTGTGTTATGTTTGTTATAGAGCATCTTGCAACTCAATCAAGCAACTTTTTAGAAGGTAACATTGTCTTTTTCTGCTCAGATCTCACTCAAGAACTTACCAAGAAGAAAAGGGTCAGAGAGACGATGGAAGAAGTAATTGTGAAGGATGAGAGCAAACCTAAAAAGAAGAAGAAAAAAGTTGGCGGAAAAAAGGCGGTCAAACAATAAAAATGTCTGAACCAGTCTATGGCTCTGTTTCAGTTTACTTTGAACATTTGCGGTGCCAGATTGCTTTTTTTGTTGTTTTTAAAAAATATCTATTAAGTTCTACATATTTGTGTCCACACAATCCACTACCCTTTGCTATTAATACAAACATTCTTTGCAGCAATATGATACTTTAATCATATGTCTGTTTGCCAAAATATTCAGATTAAATACTGTCACATAATCAACTAAGTTTTTCTTTGAAATTTGGTAAAATTTTAGTTAGCTGTTTCTGAGTTTTTTTCTATTAAATCTGAATGTAAATAAAAGTGCAATAAATTGTATTGTTTATAAGCTTTTGAAAGTGTTCGACTTTTTCAAAGGTTAGAGTAAAGGCTGATATTGCTAAATAATGCCTGTTAAATATTTTGTGGTGATATGTTGTTTCTCTCTTTTGGTTTTTATGTATCAATATCGGTAGTTTATATTTTGAGACCTTTTTTGAACAAAAACAATTTACATTTTCAAGTAGGAATCTCGACTTTTCTATCTTACAAAAAAGAGAAACTAACAGTCATATACAGTAGATCAACTTGTGCGAGGCAACTTAAAAAAGAATTACATGAAAATAAGAGACGGACTCATTCTGTGCCAAAACAGTAACTTGCATCATGTTAACTTTAGCATTTTGTTGAGTCATAAAACCAGAAATTTTGACATGTCACTACAAAGTTTTTGTATGTGTCCATAATTGTCTGCTAACAGAGATTAAGATGAATAGAAGATTTTGAGTTTGTTTTTGAAACTTATTAATGAAGGTTTTAGATTTTTCCATTTACATACATGTATTAGATATCTTACCATACTTATAACAATATTGACCATGTCAGATAAATCCTTCGCAATGTCATTCTTGTATGTTAATATTTGATTTATTTCAAAAGGTCTTAACCAAATATGCAGGTTCTGCCAAAAGCAACCTGTGACTCGACACGAATAGAAGAGATGCTCAAAAGTTTCTGGTTCTTCAAGGCAAAATACGCAAGCATCCACCTCAAATCCAAATCTTGAGTTTCTGCTCTTGGATAATAACTTCATAATTTTATATTGTATTTCTTATACTTTTGGTGAAATTTTAAATATTTAAAATATGTTCCTATGTTACCTGAATCATTATTTTAATTTTTGTCATTCCAGTAAAATTATGAAAGGTTTTAAATTTTATTATATTTTGACACAGAAGATTTTAAAGTTGAGTGTGATTGGCTGGAACTTTTATTGTGAAAGGTTTACTTCCGTTACAGCGGAAGTGATTGGCCCAATAAACTTCCGGGTAACAATTTTAATGGCTTTTCGTAGTTACTTAGCTTCCAATTAACTAAGCATATTTTGTAACCAAGGATAGGTTTGGATTAGGTTGCTTATATTGTCAATATCTGTTTCCTCTTTTTGGCTTTAGTGACGTAAAACGGGAGTTGTTCCGTCATGGACTGGATTGGTTTTTGCTATGCTCTGTGTGTGTCAGCAGGTGGAATTATAGGTTATGCTAAAGCAGGTATGCTTTTTAATCATATAGAATAGACACCGCAGACTTTTAAACTTAAGTTTTACTGGTTGTTTGAAATATACTGGAAAAATTATTTGCTTTTAAACTAGTTAAACACAGCTCCTTAGCAAAACTAAGTGAAAAGATGGTTTAACAAGGATGACATCAAAAAAGGAATATTTTTATTTAATCAGTCCATTTTCCATTTTTTTATCGTATATTGCTAGATTTTACCTTTAACCTTTGTTCAGATACAAATAAAGTAATTATTCAATTCAGTTTATTTCTATAGCGCCAACTGACAGCACATGTCATCTCAAGTTACTTTACATTTCACCAGATCATACAGTCAAATTGATTCAAAGTTTTCTATCTAAGGAAAACCAGTTGATTGCATCGACTGATTGACTCCGATGCAATCCCTCACACTAATCATGCTTTTAGCGACAGTGGAGAGGAAAAAACTCCCTTTTAACAGGAAGAAACCTCCAGGAGAACCAGGCAATTATCATTAGGTTTAAACAGGCCAAAGATAAGCAACCAACTTGACCCAATGAAAAATCTGACACATAAATGATAAATATATCATGCTTCAGTTGAAATTGATTCAAGAAATGCCTTCATTTTAAAATACAAGTTTAAGGATTTTTCTTTCTGATTAAAAATTGAAGTAACCTGTTTTCCTGTGGCTGACTCTTCTTAACAGAGTACCTCAAACTTTGAAATCAAAAGCTGAGTAAAGGGGCTCAAAACGAAGTGAAAATTTAAGATTTTTATCTGCAAAGAATTTTAAAATTATAAATGGTATGTATCTTCTTGATAACTACATGTCATGTTGGTTAATCAAGCCCCAACAAAATACAGTTTGTGGTTGTGACTAAAATGAATACTCCTGCTCCTGCAAAGGTATCTGCAGCACTGGTTATATCAATAGTTAAAAGCAAAAGAAAGAAAACTACCCAAGTGGATATAACAAGGTCCTACTGACAACATAGAAACTGTTAAGAGTTTGCACAACATTCTGGACTATTGTTTCGTTTGAAGGAGAGGTTTAACAGAAGTATGACAATCGCCCCCACAGGCAGCGTCACCTCTCTGGTAGCTGGTCTCCTGTTCGGCCTGTTGGCTGCCGGCGGTGCTTATCTAACATCTCAGAATCCCAGAAATGTGTGGCTTTCATTGGGTGAGTTTGCTCACTTTGTTCAACTAAAGGTAGTACTATGATGGGGGCAGCTTTCATCTGCCCTTCATGTTTTTCTGTTTATGCAGGCACCGCGGGGACTTTGGCTGTAGTGATGGGACTGAGATTTTTAAACTCCTGGAAGTTCATGCCAGCCGGTTTAATGACTTTACTGAGGTACAGTAATGTTTCCTCCTCTGAGGGATACAAAATTTTTTTCTTTTAAAATGCCATTAATTTATTGTTTGTTTTTAGTGTGCTCATGTTGACAAAGATCATCGTTGGAATGCTAAAGCCAGGACCACATAAATCTTGAATTTGCCTTTTAATTGTGCAAAAGGATTGTTAAACATTCCCAGCTTGTTGTCTGTTCTGTTTTGCAGTATGGCTAAAAATGGTATGGAATAGTATATTTTTCTATATATGCAAACTTTGCTTAAAAATTAAAAGCAATGTCTACTCACCCACTGTTTTTGTTTTATTTGAATAAACATGAAAGGACCAAACTGCATTAAAAAAAAACGATTTAAGGATTTATGTATGAACACAGTAAGAATGATCAAAACAATGTTTTTCTATAATAAACGTGAACTTTTCTTAATATAGAAAAGGTTGCTATAGAAAAACATTGCGGCGGTTGCTCCGTTATTGGACAAAAAAGTGAAGAAATGTTTTGTCCAATACATTTTTTGTATTAAAATATATGCAATAAAAAGTTTTATTCCATAAATGACCCCCCCAGCATGATAATATATTAATGAAATGTCTAATGTTCCTGTAGCCATTGATCTCTTTATGTGGTTTACATCAGATTGGGAGATTAAAAGCATAGCTTTAAACTACCCCAGGACACTGTATTGAATCACACACAGTAAAATAAGGACCCTAGAAGTGAAGGTTTGTGTTTTTTAGCACCTGAAAGGATAGTTGTCCCTTACCTTTAACTAGATAGATGTACTTGTCTTATCTTTGTTCAAATATGAGCACTTCTGATCCTGATCCTCCATTGGAGAATAAAGACTTCTTTTATTAACACCTGAAAAATAAGCCTCAGAATTAACATCATCATGAAAATGTCCTAAGAAATCCTTACTTTACTTTGTTGTATTGTATTATGTGTGCTTCAAAATATTTTAAACTTAAAGAGTTGATAGTGAGGTGCTTCTGTGGCATGGAGGTCGAGTGAATGACCTGGGTGTTGAAGTTTCAAGACCCCGCCCTGCTGACCTTTGCCAAATGTCTCTCCCCTCTCTTAGCCTATTTCCTGTCTGCAAACTTTCAAGAACAACAAAATAAAGGCCACTAGAGCTGGTCAAATAATCTTTTAAATAAAGAGTTAACAATGTAATTGTGAATGCAAATTGTATATTTTCTCACAACTACTTCCACTGTTACTACTAGGGGGACAGTATTTTGATTTGCAAAAAATACAAATCCTGCTCTTAAATCCTTCCTTCTCACATTTTAATCCTTCAGTTTTGTTCTATGCTGTAGCTCCTCAGGAGCCCCTTATACTCCAGATCTGAGGTGCTTTTAAGAGTACCTTGTTTTGGTACAGTCTCTTTAAATGCCAAGAAAGCACTTCATATGTCAATCTGCATAAACATGGTAGTCCTGCAAAAAACAAACCACAAAAAAACTGTTAGAAGCTGCAAAAAGCTGAGCTTTAGGTGGCGGTGCATAAATGTGTTAAAACAGCCTAAAATCCAATTTGTAATTTTTGTAGAGAGGAACTAATGTTTAAGATGATGCTCCTCCTCCAGCCTGTTAAGATTTAAAGATTGTTATTCTTAAAACCAACTGTAACCTAACTTAGATTAAAATCAAGTTAAATGATAATAATTATATTCATTCCGTGTATATCTGTATATGTCTTACCTTAAACTCTGAGATTTAGGCACTCATCCCAAGAATAAAATGTCTTCCTTATCCCGTTATATTCAGCAATTAGGCTAAAGTTTATTTATATTCAACAATCTGGTCCTAATCATAAAGTCGGTTTAAAAGATTATATCATCAGCATTGCAAGAGCCAGTTGGCTGCCACAGAACAGGTAAGATGCTTAATTTTCTGTTGGATGACTACATGGAAGAAAAACTACCTTTTTTGAGTCCAGGTAGAGCATTCACTTTCTACATTATTACACTGATATTGATATAGCTCATAGTTTTGTATAATTTGGTCTATTATATTTGTAATATCTCAATTACATATCAGTACTCTTCTTCACTGAGCTGGGTTATACGTAATTAGATATTGCCTACTCCAAAGCGTCCATAAATCTAACTAGCTTTTTTTTTTTTATAATTTACCTTACATGTTCTCCATCTAGTGGTTTAATTTGATGCCTGCACGCTTTCTCTTATTTTGTTGAAGTTTTGTTTTCAAAACCATATAAGTTTGCTGAAGCAATCTACTTTCAATTTACTTGATTTTATCGCGTACATTGTCCCACATAATAAGAATAAGTATGTGACCTAATTGACCTCATTCCCTAAACTCGTTAATTCGTATCAAATCAAAAGTTCATGATATATGAGATGAGTATAAATAAAATAAGTTTAGATGTTTTCAACTGAACTCTAGCTCCATAATACTATAAAAGATAATTGATTGATGTAATTGCAAGTGAACATTGGGATATATCAATTATGTTGAGAGATTAAAAGCTTTTAAAAGTGTAAATTGATATGTTTTTTTTTTTAAGTTACTAGTAGACTTAAATGAATTATATGAACTGCAATTAGAAAAGGAGCAGGGAAGTTTAGAGACTCCTGTTTTCCTGTCTAATTTTGTTTAAGCTTTGTTTTCTAACCCACATAAGGTTGCTAAAGCAATCTACTTTCAATTTACTTGATTTTATTGCGTACATTGTCCCACACAATAAGAATAAGTATTTGACCTAATTCCCTAAACTCGTTAATTCGTGTCAAATCAAAAGTTCATTATATTTTGATATGAGTATAAATAAAATAAGTTTAGATGCTTTGAACTAAACTCTAGCTCCATAATACTTAAAAAGATAATTGATTGATGTATTTGCAAGTAAACACTGGGATATATCTCTTATGTTGAGAGGTTATTTAAAATTGTAAATCACTGATAGACTGAAAATAAGAATGTGAACTGGAATTAGAAAAGTAGCTGTGAAGTTTAGAAAATGAATATAAATAAACATGAAAATATGGGATTTATGGCATAAACATTGTTGGGAGCGCACGTTTTTCAACAAATATTTACATTCTTCTGTCTCTGAGCAGCTCCTCCTTCTGCAGACATGCGGGCATGAAATGTGAGGAATGAAAATCGTGGCCAGCATTCTTGAAATGGCCATACTATAGTAACATGACGCACCTTCTTCTTGCATTGCACCTAAGAACTGTGCAGGCGGATTTGCGCTCAGTGGACAGCCGCGGCGTTTCTCCCAGGCTGCGCTTTTGGTAACTTACGGTAAGGTGGATCCGCAGAGTCCACTCAACGATCAGGTGATCCACTATCTACTGAGCGAAGGCTGACTGGAGGGGGGGAAATGCAAGATGACATATAGCAAATGTCTGAGCGTAATTCATTCGTATTTTCGCCTTGGATTCGGATTTAAATCGCGTCGCTGGAGCTCGAATGTGACGATGGCTCGTTAAGGGAGGGGGTTTCGGTGGCGCATCTGCGATTTTCTTTAATATTTTGATTTATGAAAAATCACATTCACAGACTAATATTGGTTTTAACATGGGGCTGTGCTACAGTTTGCGTCCCCGGCTCTTCGGGGACCTGAGCGGCTCTATTTCCAACGCTACCTCGGACTCGGACCAGCCTCCGGACGCCGCCGTCGTGCCGAGCCGCGCCGGGGCAGCTCGCCAGGAGGACGCCGCAGGATGTGGGGAGACTTCATCGCTACGCGGCGGAGGCCCGGTGCGCACAGGGGACTCAGCTAGGGAGCACCGCCGCGGGGACACCGGGACAGACGGGGTGCTTATTCAGAACGGAGGAGGCAGCAGCGGCAAGGGCGCAGGGAAGGAGCGCAGCCGACGCTTGCAGCTGCCGCTCAAAAACAGCAGCCAGAAGCAGAAACATTGGGACAGACTGCTGGTGGAGGAGAGGGAGGCCGAGAAGGAGGCGAGGAAAGTCAGTAAAGATATTGACAGGGTGCTTAAGGAGCTCAAGAGGGAGTATAAACAGACGCATCGGCTGCTGCTGCTCGGTAGGTTGTTTCCCTCTCTGTTGTTGTTGGACTGGAAAAGGGTTTTATTAATAGCAACAAAAACGCACTGGCTTGTCCAGAAATTATGTCACAGCACATCTCTGCCGAGGCCTGCTGCCACATCTGATGGCCATCACTTCAGATCAGAGACACACTTCAGCACAAGGCTAAAAAAAACAAAACAAAACATTTATGTTGGGGGTTGAATTTTAGTCTGTAAACTAATCTAAATGTATAGCTTTTCAAAAGTAATGTTTGGAGATAATAATAAATTATTATTTAGTTTTGTCTGACAGTTCTCCACAAATGTCATCTAAAGAGACTTTAATTTAAATCTAGGTCAATGCTGTCCATCTAATGCAATCAGAGGCGTAGCCAGGAAATGCTTATTAGGGTGGCCAGGCAATAACTAATGTGCACTGAGGGGTGTTAACGAGAACAACAATTAACAAGCAAAACATCCATATTTTCTAAATAAAGACAAACTATACTTTCCTACAGCCTTTGCTAACGAATAGACACATAGATTTAAACATCCCTGCTTTCTAGATAAAAGGTAAAGTGGAGTTTTGGATGAACATCTTTTCCATTGTCTTTATTTACCTACTTTTATCAACAATCATTCTGAATAAAATTGATATTTACAAGTACTAATATCTACATAAATGTATTATTTAATACGTTTTTATTAAAATAGTTATTTATTTATGATTTCACTGAAGACTCCTAAATGACTTGCAGAGACTCATCATTTTCTCTTTACCCCATAAAACAGAAATCTACTTATCATCTTTAATGTTAGTATTTTAATGTGCATAATTAACCACAGTGTTTTTGTTGTCAAGTAATGGTTAATATATGAAAGTTTTAAATGTTTTGAATATTCCACCTGAGAGTATTACTGCTGACACCATCTGTATTGGAGGGGGAAAAATGGTATGGATGGCTACAGGGGTGGGCAATGATTGGCTAAGGGTAGCCATGGCCACCCCTGGCCTCCCATCTAGCTCCACCCCTGAATGCAATGCAGTCAAGATCAGTTTGTAAGGAAATTAAAATATCTGGATATCATTTTATTTAAAGCGTTTTGCTTAATCTATTTCCCTCTAGATTCAGCAAGACTTGTATATTTAAAATTATTCTAAACAAATATGACACTGCTAAGGCATAACATTATGATTCGTTCAAGGTACAATATCGGGTATTTTATTCCCTTCGCTGGTTTCTACATTTAGCATCCACTTTATGCTGTTAAATTAACCATACCAC